TTCAAATTTGATCAGATCTATTAAGACCTACTGTGGTAACAGTGCACTGTCTGAAGCTAACAGCTGAAACAATTACTCATTTTCTTTCATTTGCAGCTCTCACTCCACAAGAAGCAACCTAGAAGCGCATGCTTGCTTTAACAACAGCATAACCATAAACGCAGCTAATACATTCAAACCTGTGCTCCCTCCTGCTGCCATCCCATGGGACACCGCATCTTTGCACCTATTTCCAACATCTTGTCCTTATTTGTTCCATAACTGCTGTGGGACATTATCTGCAGTCTGCTTCCTAACTCCAATGCATTCAAAGTAAATGCAGCCCTCATCTTCACTATGATCTCTGGAGGCTATAGGAATAGGGGATTGCTATGTTTACAACCAGAGTACTACTTGTGAAGTTCCCATCTGTGATTGGCACCAGGTGCAAGAATAGGCTGGCTATGTTTGAGAATGGGGCATTCTGCAAACAGGTGAAAAGAAAAAGAATCTGAAATCCAAGCTGACTATTCCTCAACCAAATAAAAGGAGGAAGGGAAAAGAAGGAGCAATGAAACACAGGCTAAATAATTATTATGGTAGTTTTGCAGTTCTTAGCCTATTCAGTTAACTACTTTTCAATTAACTGTGGTTCACTTATTCACAGTTATGATAAAGAAAAAAAATACAGACTTGCTATATCAACATATAGTTGCTACTGGCTTCAAGTTGTGACCTTGTTTTTAAAAGAAACAAGCTTTTATTAGTAATCCATTAGAAGATGAGTAAAATTCCTCAATTACTTCCAGTATCTCAAAGTTCTATACAAAATAGATATTATTTTGTGATTTGAAGTGACATTGAATAACTGATGGTTTAATTCTTTGAACCAGTAAGATTCTCCATTCAGATCCTTCCAAAACAACAACAACCACCCCCCTGCCCCTTGCTTTTCCCTTGATTAATATATGTCTGACTCAGAAAAAAGACAGAGTTGCATAGGGGACTATAAATCTAACAGTTTATAAATTATTTCAGTTGATATTTGGGGCATTTAATGAAGGCTCGGAATTAGTTTTAACTTTTTTTTTTTTTTAAGGAATATTCTTACAGTCAGACATTTTGAGAAGAGACATCCCTACTGTTTAAAATGGTCTAAAATACAACTTTTTTAAAAAATACAAGTTTTGCAGGTAGCAATTAATGCCCTCTTTTTGAAGACTGTTTAACTAGTAGCTTATTTAACAATGCAGCTGATGAGTTTGTCATTCCTAAAGTTTTCCTTTCCATGAAAATCATAATAATTTAGGAAAAATACAGGTTATTGTCATAGAGCAGAGTGTGCCTTCATATGGCTGATGTGAGACAATCACTTTAAGAAACCTGAAATGATACAGCAGTCTTGGAAGGTGGTGCTACCCTTTTAAAGCCCAGGGAATGTGAGGGCCTTTCCAGTTCAGCATTTGCATTTCACCAGCAAAAATACACAAATACTCCTTCACTTGGCTGATTTAATGGTTATTTATAAAAGTAAATATACTAACACGACCAGAACAGATTGAATGAGCATAAACTGAAATTGTTGCAAACACAAATAAGAAGACTTTACCTAAATCCATGAAGTTTGGCAGGGCTGGACTACAGGAATACACAGGTTACACCGGCTCAGCTGAAAAGGTGCGACTCACTAAAATGCAGTAACGCAGTTTTGTTCAAGCTTGTGCACTGAACTGCATTGTCGGGATTAGGTCACCTGGGTTACAGAAATCCTCCCTTTCTTTGTGTTAGAAAAATATTTTTCCCTTTATTTTCTCCTTTTGTTCGTCATTTTTATAAATAAACTTTTAAAATAAATGTACTTTACAGATTGTAAGTCGGATCTTCCTTTTCAATTCAGTGGCAAAACTGCCTACGATTTCAACAGTGAAAGAAATGATAAAAACACCTGGTCATTCATCCATATGATTTCAACAGTGAAAGAAATGAACTTTAGATAAAAACACCTGGTCATTCATCCATAAGTGAATTACAGCCACATCTGGGGTGAAACATAGCAGCTACTTCGCAGTTAACATTATTATTAGAGGCTGATCTATGGACAGAAATGCACAACCGAAAGCATGGAGAAATGGCAGGTAGGTGGAAAATAACCATACCGACTAAAACCACCACACTCCCTAGAAATAATTCCCTTATTCATATGAAATCTGCACAAGACTGTTCACAGTTTTTTCAGGCGCTCCATTATATATGTCATCCAAAAGCCAAGTCCAATAACTGATAATGTTAATGCTAAGGTACTGAATAGATAATGCTCCTGTATGATTTGTTCCCTATTTAACTGAACAGAGAACTATAGATACAAGTGTTGCAAGCATGGAGTTTGGGGGATTTTGCTTTTTGTGCAGGTGAGCTTTATGGGTTTTTTTTTTTTTTCCCCAAACATGGGTTCAACCTGTATTACCATGGGCTACACTGTGAAGTGTGTGTGATCATATCATACACACACACACACACACACACACAAGCACAATCACCGGTATCTGCCTGCATTTCAAGGTTTAAAGACGAGGCTGTGAATCAGAACACAGGACCTGGAAATTCCACATTCTCAACATTTCAAGCTCTCAGATCTTTGAGATCAATACTTCCGCTTTGGCTCATTTGTAAGACATCAGACACATACATTCTGTTTCATAAATAATATTGTCTAATTGTGCCAAAGAAACACATGAATTTTATAATAGTACATTAAACACATGTGGATTACTCTGCTGTCAAGCATATGCTAAATTTCTTTCAGGAATACCAAAAAAAAAAAAAATCACCTAGAAGGTCAAAACCAATACTGGTGTGATCTTTTCTTCAGAAACTGCAATGGGGTTGGGGAGAGGAAGCCTAGTGTTGTCACATTAGAATTGCCAGCAGCGAGACATTCAGCTCATCAGGACATTTTTTGTTATACCAGAAATCAACCTAACAAGTTTTCATCACAACCGTTTTATTATGGCAGCACGTGGAACTCTGGAACCGCCTTTTTCAAGTCCAAGATAAATATGATTCTGCAGAAAATACAGCCAACTATTTCAAAAAAGTGTAATTCTGATGTTTTATTAAACAAGTTCATCAACTTAAGATTTTCCAAGCGATAAATGGGATCCTCAAATTAACAATCGAAGCAGTTAATCCTCTAGTATTTTTCCTTTGTTTGTGGCTAACTGAGCAGAAGCTACTGTTTCACAGGTCACTACTCAACATAAATGCCTCACTCTCAACAAAGGCAAATTATGTTTTCTTCCCAGTACTTCATTTGCTTCTCTTTTTATTGGCTTTACTACTAGCAGTCAACTGGCACATGAGATGAAATAAAATGAATTTGGAAGAACTGTACTTTAGTAATCAAATGTCAAATTTCTATACTTTCTTTTCTCCCTCAGGGATATATGCATTAAAGCACTTAAGTAAACCTCTAGACTAATCCACAAAATTATTTCCACAATAGGAGCAATGCACTTATTTTTACACAGTCAGAATATGATAGAATACTTTTGTGTGACAGATAGAGTTTCCAATTCCATATGGAAACAATCATTCTTTAACAACTTGCTACTAGCAGCTTTCAATACAGCTTTTTAGAAACACTTTTTGCTGGCTAATGTTTTACAGTGCTTAAATATTCTGATGAAATAATCCATAATCTAATACACTAAATGTAGTAACACCAACCTTTGTCTTTTTTGAAATCAGTGTTAACTAATCAAATAAATAATTCTTTTCTATGAAATGAAAAAAATACCTTTTTGCTTCTAAATTACAGACTCTCTACATTTATAAGCTTCAGAAGTCATAAGAACCCCATACTAAAAATAGCTTTTTTTGTCCAATAATTTTCTTACTAGTCTTATGACTAGTAAAAAAGCTATGCAAATAGAAAATATTTGTAAATATACACATCTGATTCTTTGACGTCTTTGAAGTTCTTGAAACTTAAAATGTTTCTATATATTCTCTAGAATAGATGTGTTTTTGAAGAGTAGTTAATTTTCAGTTTTCATACACAAAAATGAAATGGTCCTAAGTTAGTAGCAGAATACATTTTCTTAAATAACCCCCACGTCCTCAGGTTACCATATATTCACCAAGTATGTTCATCAATATAACGTACAAGTGTCTAAAAGTTAGATGTGGTATTACTAGCGCTATAAGGAAGTAATATATGAATTAACTGTTTAGTCATGTTCAGTTGCCTGTAGCATCAAGAAAAGCTAAATATCACTATTTCAAACTGTCAGCTGAAATGAGTGCCAGATGTTAAAATATTAAGCAGTCTAAAATCAATTAGCTTCATTTTAACAAAATCTTTTACAAGACAAAGCTTAATCTAGTGACTCAATCTTTCTTTACATGGTCCCATCATACATGAAATGCGCCCCTGTTTATTATAGGCAGTGACTGGACTAGGCAAACAGAACATAAAAATGTTGTAGTCTAAAAACTTAAATGTTTTATGGCATTTAAAAACTTTCTTTTTTAGTAAAGATCTTCATGGTATTACAGGCAATGCTAATGAATAGCGATCAAATAAAATATACCTATTTAGATTTTTGTTTTTCTTTAAAAAGCACGTGCCATTTCTCATTGTACACAATTCCAAAGAGGAATAAAGCTTACATTGCTACTACTTTGTGTAAAAGCAATAGAAAACAGGCATTTGACCTAACAGTTTATGCTAATACAGACTGCATCATATCTAAAAGTATAAGGAGTAATTGTGCAATTCAACGAGACTGTTTATTTTATGTAATTTTATTTATAAATGAGTGGATTCACATCACAAAGATCAGTCATTCTTTTCATGGCAGCACTGATTACAACAGTTGCCTATATTTTCAACAGACTAATTCTACAGCATATGAAGAGACTTAGCCCCAGAAAATGTCAAAAAATACCAGAAAAGAGACTGACTGCTAAGGAAGACTCATGCAAGTGTTTTGTATTTAAAATGGGAAGAAATTACATACCCTTCTCCACCAATTCTTGTTATCTTTAGACGAAAATCAACAGAGTTCAGGCTGGGTGGCTTCCATTTCAAGATATCATCACATCGACCAGGCTTGTATTTCTAAAGCAAATTAAAAATGCAGTTTAATTACGCTTATTGTTTTTTTAACTGGGTTTTAATGTTACAATTCAGCATTTTGCAACTTTATTTGTTGTCTCTAATGAATTACAATACTTAAACTAGAACACTGAACTCCATTACTACAAAGGTGTTTGTGCTTCAGCAGCTTATTTGCTTTTATATCTCCTTGGCGCTGTAGCCAAGGCACTGCATATAATAAGGAACAGAAAACAGAAAAACAAAGAGCAGCATTCTTTGTTAGACCTACCTGACCAATGGAGTATTTCAAAAAAGAAAATAACCACAGCAATAAAAATGCTGATGAGATGTACATAAAGACAGGTTTCGGATAACCTCAACATTTCAAACAATTTGTAAACACTGTTTCTATTATTCACAGAGTTAGCTGACACAAAAAGCCAGCAGCCGCTATAGTGCCAATCATTAAATAGGCCAATAGAAATGTGTTTTTTCTCTCTCAAAGAAATTTAAGTTATGTAAACATTAAAGAACATCATAACATATTCTAACATAATTAAGGAAACATTTATTGCTTTAGATAAAGGGTGCACACTTGACTAAACCAAAAGATGCCATACTCGGCATAAAAAGAGCAGTTTTCTCTTAAATGAGTGCTTTGGCATATCAAAATCTCTTATCATCAGCTTTATTAAGCCTATGATGAACAAAATGGCAGCTAAGAGAGCCAGGCCAATACCAGAATATACCCTTTCCTACCAGAATATCTGCACAGAAGAATAAATCAGAATGAGTAAGAAGAGGTAAAAGTAAAATGATCTTATGTGAAGATGTACAGAATGAGAATTTTTAGCTGTATTTTTTATTATTAGAAATTTACGTAAGTTTACTTGAAAAAACAAGAGTGCTCAGTGTCTTTTGAAAACACAGTGACCATCAGCCTCACACCAGCACCTACATTGCGTTAAATACCTGTAAAATTTAAAAACTAGTGATGATACGTGTAACATTTCCAAATCTAAAAAGACAAAAGACACATTTCCAAATCTAAAAAGACAAAAGAAAATGATAAGGTGTGACTTTTGCTAGACAATTATCAAAAATAACCTTCACAAACTAAATCAGCTCCAAGCCTCCAAACCTCTTTAGTAAACTTTATTTAGTAAGCACATGTCTAAAATAACCTACTAAAAGCTCCATCTAGTAAGGGAACATGGCTGGCTACAGCATGTCTTATTTCTTGACCATGGGCCTGCATTGTTTAAAAGAAAAGGCTGGAGCCTGCTCTGGTTTCCACTCTGGGCATTATAAGCACTCCCAAAATTCAGTGTTAAACCTGTTTTACTATTCTAACCATGCACAACTCCGAACGAAATTTCTCCATAATCTTCAACATCTGAATAAAATTTAAATTATTTATCCTTGTCTTCAGTACAGCATACAGAGGCTGCTTCTGACACCTCTTATCTACGCCTGCTTCCCTTCTACTTCTTTCATTTTCTTCTTTCCCTTATCAAATAGCTGCAACTTGTCTCTCAGAAAGCAACTTTCTCCAGCAGTCCTGCACATAAAACTTTTGCCTTTTTACACTTGAATCAGAAAACTAGTTAGATACAGTGTGATAGTCATAGTAAATACGCTTTTTCCTGTCTTCTCTTCCCATCCAATTTCCCACTGGCCTGGCCCTACTGCAACATCAACAGTTATTTGAGCAAGGCTACCTGTCTGCATACCCTTTCAAAAGGGGATTTAGAAAGATATTCACTAAGTAATTAACAACAACAACAAAAATACATTTCTGAAATCAGCTAGAGTTATTCTTTTAGTTGCTACTACCCTGGTATCCTCAGCAATCCTCCAACCAATTTCTCTGGGTCTTCATTCACAGGAAGTATTTTAAAATCTAAAAGACTTTAGGTTTAAATTTCATTACTGAAACAGTTCATTCTGCCCTTTAGGTTTTCACCTCCATTACCAATCTAAAAATTCTCTATGCTAAATATACTAATTGATCTTAAATAGAAAAGTCAGAGTATACGAAGTATAATACTCAGTAAAGCATCTAATCTCTCCAGATTATCCACTTTTATTGTAACTACACACAATTTCATATACAGGTTCTACATTTAAATATACTGTTAAGTATTTCTATTTCACTTTAGAGAAAGTATTCTACAATATATTCAGATGTGCACATTGGCTATGACTAAGGTGAATGGCAGTGAAATTCCTCTTTCAGGATTTTCTGCAATTTTTTTTTACTTCTAAATGTTATTTACATAATATGGGATTAAATTATACCCTTTATTACTGAAATACATTACAGGAACTTTAGAACACAATACAATGCATGCAATTGCTCTCTCACCTGCAGTTTCTATTTTGGCCAAAGACTACTACTACTGCAAGGTAGCTACTACTTAGTTCATAGAAGAGCTGTGGGAAATTCTTCAGTTTGTGATTAATTTCTCCACAGACGATGACAATTTAATTCAGGAATTCATGGAACTGGACATACAGCTGAATAGCAGAATAATATCAGAATTTGTTGGAATAGTCATGGCTTTTGTTGCATGACATAGAAGACTTAACAGCTCTTCTGTTAGTACCACATCCAGCAGCACCCCTCTCCTCATTGACTCATCTACCATCTGCATCAAGAAGTTATCTGCCATGTTCTGCAGGGGCCTTCCAGGCTGCTTGTTCCTACCTGTGTGGTCATCCCAGCAGACACCAGATCCTCCATACCTCCACTGAGATCCTCAGGGCCTGTGACTGTGAGGCTTCTTGCAGCTGCCTGTAGAAGCCTCATGTGCTCCCCCTCTTGCTGATCAGGTGGCCTGCAGTGAACACCCACCAGCGACCCCTCTGTTGGCCTGCCCTTTGATCCTCACTCACAAGACTTCTGGCTCATGCTTCATCCTCCCCTAGGCAGAGTGCTCCATACATTTCAGCTGCCCTCTCACATAAAAAGCAACTTTGCCACCTTGCCTTCCTGGCCAGTCCTTCCTAAAAAGCCTAAAGGCCACGTTCTAGTCAGGAGAGCTGTCTCACCACATCTCAGTAATTGCAATGGCTCTGCAACTGCACACACATCTCCAATTCCCCTTGTTTATTCCCCATGCTGCATGGCTTTACAAAGATGTAGGCTCCCAACGTCCCTCTCTTTCTAGCTTGGACAGCTGTAACTCGACCACGTGAGCCTTCAGCAGCTACTGCTTCTATGTCTGGAAGGAATTTCAACTCGGAGGCCATCATTCTACATATATATTTTTTTCTGTACACTCATTACTCTACATTTACCTACACTGATTTTCACCTGCTGCTTTATTTTCCTGTTTTGAGTTTTTCCTCATATTCAGAGGACCTTCCTATGTTTCAGTTTGTGGCTGTTGCCTCTTGTCCTATCACTGAACACCACTGAAGAAGCTTGTCCCCATCCTCTTGATGCCCTCCCTTACGATATTTGTACACACTGGTAAGATCCCTTCTCAGTCTTCTCTTCTCCAGGCTCAACAGGCCCAACTCTCACTTCCTGTATGAGAGAAGCTTCACACCCCAAATCACCTTGGTAGCCCTACGCTGGACTCTCTTCCATAGTTCTGTCTCTCTCTTGCACTGGGGACAGTCTTAGCGTAAAACTAACTTTGAACCAGAAAAAAAGTAAAAGGAATATTCCCAACATTACTAACAGAAGAAATGTTATACATACCTGTAATTGCATTGTTGGATGCATAGTTTTGGTAAAGGCCTAAATAAGCAATCAGACTTTAAAGCTCTCATCAAGAGCAAGTTGTACAATCTATATACTTCTACTGGCATCACAAAAGAGAGAATATCACAGAAATCTCGATTAAAATGAAAATTCAACCTAATAAAAGCCCTGCAATCCCTGAGGATTCACTTTTATAAAGGGCAAGTCTATATGTACTATACAGCAGCAACAGATTCTTGAATGTGAATGTTAAAACTACTAGATCAAGTATTCTTCAAGTGTTAGCTGGAACCAAACAAGAATTCTGCTTCTTAAGTATGCAAAAACTTTGCCTTAGATGAATCATTGCACACAAGCCTGTTCTACACGAATCTCCAAAACAAAATGTGAAGCAATCTGTCTGGGATCAAACTACTCCCCAGAATTTTAAATATAGCACTCATAGCAATGATATCCTAGATATCTCTTTCTCCTTAAATATTCATGTACATGCCTGTTAAAAACATCAGGTCACACAACATCTGAAATACAAAGTTTATGTTTCTGTCTGAAAATTTCAACCAAAAAAAGAATCATAGAATCATCATGGTTGGAAAAGACCTTCAAGATCATCAAATCCCACTGCAAACTCATCACCATCCTGCCTGTTAAACCACATCCCAAAGTGCCTGATCTACACGTTTCCTGAACACTGCCAGGGATGATGATTCCACTACTTCCCTGGGCAGCCTGCTCCAAGGCTTCACCAGTCTTTCCATGAAGTTTTTTCCCCCAATATCCAACTTGAACCTCCCAGCACAACTTGAGGCCATTTCCTCTTGTCCTACCGGTAATTATCTTGGGAGACTGACCCCTACCTCACTGCAACCTCCTTTCAGGTAGTTGTAGAGAGCAGTAAGGTCTCCCCCAAGCCTCCTACTCTCCAGACTAGATAACCACAGCTCCTCACAAGGTCTGTGCTCCAGATCCTTTACCAGATTCATTTAGGGACAAGAGAAGAAGCCTGGAGAGAGGAAGACTCACCCTGGATAGAGGAAGAGTGGGTCAGAGAGCACCTAAGGAAACTCGATACCTACAAATCCATGGGCCCTGATGGGATGTACCCCAGAGTGCTGCGGGAGCTGGCAGATGTCATAGCAAAGCTGCTGTCCATCATCTTTGAAAGATCCTGGAGAACGGGGGAGGTGCTGGAGGACTGGAAGAAGGCCAATGTCACGCCAGTCTTCAAAAAAGTCAAGAAGGAGGACCCAGGCAACTACAGGCCAGTGAGCCTCACCTCCGTCCCTGGAAAAGTGATGAAACGGCTCATACTGGCTGTTGCCTCCAGGCATGTGGAGGACAAGGTGCTAAAGAGTAGTCAGCATGGATTCACCAAGGGGAAATCTTGCTTGACTAACCTGATAGCCTTCTATGATGCAATGACCGGCTGGATAGACGAGGGGAGAGCGGTGGATGTCGTCTAGCTCGACTTCACCAAGGCTTTTGACACCGTCCCTCACAACATCCTCCTGGGCAAGCTCCGGAAGTGTGGGATAGATGAGTGCACAGTGAGGTGGATTAGGAACTGGCTGGATGGCAGAGCTCAGAGGGTGGTGATCAGCGGTGCAGAGTCTAGTTGGAGGCCTGTAGCTAGC